AAGCAGACCCAGCGGGAGCGGCAACGGGCGCGGTCTCCGACATAGTGGCAGCCTTCGTCCACGAATCAGGGGAAACCACTGGGCCTGGAGCAAGTCAGCAGCCTCGTATTTATAGAGAGGAGCCGCGCGGTGATTGGTGCGTTGCAGCGCCCGCCCCGCTGCACGGCAGAAAGGTCCCTTCTCCCCGCTCATTTTGTGTTTCTTAGGAGTCAAAAAAGCCTGTTTTTATCAGAATTCCTGCCACCGACCCCCACCCAGTTCGCAGCGGCGTGGAGAAGACAGACTATTGTTCCCCTCTGCAAAGTTTCCCTTCGAAGAGGCAAAGGGTGAGTTAAAAAAGAGGCGATAAACCCTGAGTCCTGGACCTGGACAGACCTCGGGAGACAGAAACTTTTGTTTTTCCTTCTAAATAAAATCCGCGACGTGGGCAACTAAATCTCCGAAGTAATTAATTATTATTCTTTAAAGGGTCTTCTCTTAATCTGAACTGAAAATCAGGGTTTTGAATCGATATTTTAATGGCAAATTGATTTCAAAGAGGAGGAAGTAACACAGGCTCATCTGGAGCACTGAATATGGATTAGAAATTAGCTTCTTTGTCTAAAATCCTTTGCCCCTTTCAGAATAATGAAAATAAATTAAATTAGTGCATTATGTAAGAAGGCGAGAAGCAGATTAAAGTCTTGTGAAGGGCTGTTTGTGCCCCAGAAGGAGATGACTTTTTACAGCATAGCACCTTGTACTGCATTGCTCAGTGTGCACAATACAGACATGGTTCCCTCATGCTATGCTGCAGAAATACTTATTTTCTGAATAAATTAGGTGTCATAAGAACTTAACACGGCCAGGTTTTGTTAATAATTATAATCAGTACCCTATGGCTTTGTAATTCAGAGGTGTTTTTATTTTGATGCAGCTGGATTAGTGAAAATCTGAGTCATGGTTACCTACGGAGACACTGCTGCAGCTGATTTTCCATATTTCTACACAACAAAACTTGCTCAAGTTGCCAGTTAAGGCTCCCCTTTTGCAGCACATTGCTAAATATTCTATTTTCTACTGTCCAGTGACTGATTCCTGCATTGGAAGTAATATTAAAAATAACATATCCAATGGATGTATGTGTTAGGCTGGAATGACCGGCTGCTAGCAGGAGGGGAAAAGTCTTCATCTGCACTTCACCAAGACCATGCTTCAACGCATTAAAAATGAATGCATTTTAATTCTCAGAGCCTAGAGAATAAAAAGAAATATTCTCTCATATTTTCGTTATTGCCTACAACTCTATGTTTTGCCAAAGGCCTGTAAACTGTTTATTACCACTTGCTGTTGTTACTGTCAGTGGTACTAAAATTTGTACAATGTTACAGTTCAAATACTTTTAAGTTTCCAAATCAATAATTATTAAAACGTGTTTGTTTAACTTCAACCACCTTTTTGTTTCTGTTTCAACATCTTTATGGTAATGTTCAGCACTATATACAAGGCAGAATCAGAACCGGCAACAGTCCTTTTTACCTCAAATTGCCTGTCCAGTGATTACCAATTATTCTCAAACCCCTTCAGGTTTAAGGCAGAAAAAGGGTATGGCAGCTCAGACCAAGCCATGAGAAAAACTGCATTAAAAATTAATAACTCAGAATGCCTATTGTTACGAAAAGACAGTCTGTAGGTCACAAGGCTGTTTAAAGGGGGGCAGGGTTGTTTTTGAACATGTCAGTGAGTTACCTCAACTTCACATCACAGAGGGTTAAGCTGACGCAGGAGAGTCCTGCTGAAGCTGCAGGTTCCCTCTTGCAGTAATTATCAAATTTGTGTCTTTCTTACCCCACCCGAACACAGCAATTCCTTTCACGTGGAACAAACTGTTTCGTATGTATTTACCAGCAACCAACACGTTAATTTGCAGTATTAACTTTTAAAACAATATTTTCAGAAACAGAGAAAAGGTCCTGGATCTGTTGGGTTTTTTTTTGTTTTGTTAGATCCACAGCTCCTTTTATGAGAAAGTGGGTGGCTCTAAAAAGAGCCTTTGGGTTACTTTTGAGGCGGCAATGCTCCTCAGGTTTTACTTGCTCTTGGCTTTGTGGCTGTCGGTCTTCTTGGGCAGCAGCACGGCCTGGATGTTGGGCAGCACCCCGCCCTGCGCGATGGTCACCTTGCCCAGCAGCTTGTTGAGCTCCTCGTCGTTGCGGATGGCGAGCTGCAGGTGGCGGGGGATGATGCGCGTCTTCTTGTTGTCGCGGGCCGCGTTGCCCGCCAGCTCCAGGATCTCGGCCGTCAGGTACTCCAGCACGGCCGCCAGGTACACCGGGGCGCCGGCGCCCACCCGCTCCGCGGAGTTGCCCTT